TCATTTGGCCTTCCCACTGTGATAAAAGATTGAAGGGAAAAGTGTCTCCTGACAATAACTGATTTACTTATAAAATCTCTACAAGTTCAACTCCTTAGTAATTCTGTTCAAATCACGTGTCAAACAGGCATAGATCTTTACACTATGAACCCTTTCCTTGATGATATGGAGAGTTGCGTATCTCTAAGAAGAGAACATTAGAAGCTAATCTTCCTTTTCTTTAGATTTGATAACCATTGCATCTTATCATAGGATGAAATAAAAAATATTGCATACAGGAGATATGCAAAATGCTTGGAATTTCTGTGGAAAGACGATGTGATCCCTTTGACATTAATCTGTTAAACTTCTTGAGAATGCCTTTCTTATTTTTTTTTTTCTCAGAAATTGCTTAGGAGAAGACCATCTGAATTCCCAGCATCTAAGGCTCCTTGCCTTTATGTTTGAAGTACCATCATAAAACTGTGCTCTGTTTCTCCATGTTGATCTTACTTCTCTTCTGACTGTCGACTTCCGGTGTTCCTGTTTTGACATATTCTCAGTGCAGACAGAAAGGATTGCAGAGGAATTTTGCAGGACCAAAGGGATATTTGTGTTTAGTTCAAAGCTTATTTGAAATTATTGAAGACTTTTTACTTGGATGTGATTTAGATCTGAGGCCATGAATTTCTACCCTAGCAGTAGCCAGGTTGATATGTGTAGAACTGAGTTCAACACATATCTGGGAAGGCTGCCGTTCGGTCTGTCCGTGAAAAGGAGGGACATATAGTACAATACTTCAGGCTGATTGGGTGATGTGCCAGCTAGTACCCGCCTTTCATAATATACTTTTATTCAATCATAGCAGCGAATCATGACGTTTCAGATTTGTACCCGGAATGACAGGTGGAACGTGTTTACTGAAACCATTGTTGGATGTTTAAAAAAAAAAAGTGCTTCTCTTTGCTCCTTTTTAAAATGAGAAAGTGTGGCTATTTTAGCTTCTGGCATTTCATTGGTCCGACTCGCTTGTCGTTACATGCAGACGTATTAGCAGGAGTCTTTCAAGATGGATTTGTTGTGAGACTGAAGACACAGATCTCGCGACAATCCAGTTTGCAGTGCAGGTTTAATGGATTTCAAGTAGAAAAGGGAAAATAGGAAGCCATTCTGTTGCTGTTAAAAGTTATGTTTGATGTTTGCTATAATGGATGCTCAGGCTAGAATTTGCAGAATCCAACATTTTAACAAGCTGATGCAGTTCCTTCCTTCCTTCCTTCCTTCCTTCCTTCCTTCCTTCCTTCCTTCCTTCCTTCCTTCCTTCCTTCCTTCCTTCCTTCCTTCCTTCCTTCCTTCCTTCCTTCCTTCCTTCCTTCCTTCCTTCCTTCCTTCCTTCCTTAATGTTGATTAATGTACACTGTCCCCTTTCAATAAATGAAATGAAATAGCTGATGAAGATTCTCAGTCATCCAGGTCATAGTCATTCCATAAAAATTCCAAAAATAAAAAAAACAATCCACTGGACTTGGTTTCCAAGATTTGAAGACGTTTTGCCACCTATCCAAGAAGCTTTCTCAATTCAAATGTCTAGATCCGCAGTGAGTTTGAGTCTGATATAGACAAAGCCTTGTATCGTTCGGAAACATGCAAATGGTAACCGATGAATGGGTCGTTAGTTCCATTGTTAGCCTGTAATATCTGAAACCTATCTTCTTTAATAATTATGTTAAAATTTTACTCTTAATGTTTAAATGTCATAATGGTCTTTATGTCCCAAAGAGCTTTTACTGCTGGATATCATATTTTTACTTAATCTCTTGCATATACTATTAACCTTGTATTTTATTTTGATTATTGCTTTTTTATAAATATCATTTTTTGTCTCTTTTTTCAGTTCTATGTACAGTACCTGTGCAACACGTTATAAAGTTCTAAAGTATACGTATAAAGTACTTTGTAAATAGATGATGATGATAATGATGATGATAAAGTTTAAACCTGACTTCTAACAAGTTTGAAAATTACAATTACATCAAAGCTAGAAAACGAGTTGTTTTCTTTCACCCAGAAGAAAAATTAGCTGGGAAAGTTCCAAGAAAAATTCGTATTTACTTTCAAACGTTGTCATAATTGTATGGATGACTGCCAACCACTGTTTTCAAATTACAATTTGTATGCCTCAGAAAGATGAAACACTTTAGTGTGCTTACTGGGTTCCTTGAAAAGATACCTGCTAGCTTTGCCCATCTGTTTCCAGTATTTATGCAGATGAAAACAGGTTGGTTGCCATGCATAATAAAATATCTCTAGACATAAATTTCACTGATCCTGTGTAACTCCAGAAGACCTGCACTCACTTTACCTGCTACAGTTAACAAACATTAAACTCAGGCCTGCATGCACTCGGAAAATATCTCCTTCTTTAATAAATCCTCTAAACGTCACATTTCTTTTGTCTGGCATTTAACTGGAGTTTCTGCAAAAATGCTCTATTTTTTCCTAAAGGACCAGTCTAAAAAAGCCAATTATAAATAAAAAAAATAAAGTAAGAAAAGATGTTTAAGAGACATTTTTTTTATTTGTTGCTTTCATCTTGCCTTCCAAAATGACTCCCTTAATGTAAGCTTATGGTAAATATTGGTTTGACATCTAGGATGATTTCTCATGAAGATATTTGACAGATACATGACTGCTTGGCAAGTAATTGGCCTACAAGGGAAAGTTCGTGGGATGTTAGCCGGCACCAACATGAAAACAAGTTGTTAATGAGAGGCAGTACAGGCTGGCATTCTTTTACACAATGTAATATTACCTGCTTTTACTAACAAAGGCTTTAAATTAAGGTGTTAGTAATTTTGGTGTTGCTGGGTGCTTGTGTTTTTTACTGCTCTGTACCTGAGCAGAGGAGCTGTCACAGTCCAATTAGAGAGAAAATGTAAGAGGGAAAAAATAAAAGGAAGCTGCTACATAAATCTGGTTAATAGGCCATTGAGCAGCCGGAAATCTTTGCACTGCTAATTGGCACAGACTCTACACTTAAAAAAAAGAAAAAGAAAAATCAACCTTAGAGATGCTCTTCTGATACTATTTCAAAATACTTCTATTTTAAGGCTTCAATGTCAGTTCAGTTCATTTGGACAGAATAGTCTTCTCAAACCGATTAGTGCTACTTCATTGTATTAGAATGATCTACATATTTACTGCTATATGTTGTTCGCATGTAGAAAAAAATGGATTTCTGTCGTTGAACCTGGACACCTAATCAGAGGTCATGTTTTGGGAGAGCACAAACGATAGTTTTTATAGAGTGTTCGGTTTTAATGTTTCAGTGTGTACACGGGAGCCGCATCTGTTTTATACGATGACAATGTAGCTCAGTCTACTTCTGTAATCTGCCTACGCTTCTTTACTGCTATGTCTGCAAAAACCCAGTCGTTTTGTCAGCACTGGCAGTGTCACAGCGCCACCAGAGGGCCCAGCATATGTAATACAGCTGCTTCATTGGCGCTGTGTACACATGTGTGGACGCAATGTTTTTCTGATCCGATTTTGAAAAGATATTGTGATTATCTTTGTGTGGACTAGGTAAAAGAAATAAATCTGAGACTCAGGAAATAAAAGCATAAAATGAAAACTCAAAACACCAATCACACGCTGAGCATAACAGTGACGGAGAATCAAATTTATGCCATAATCAGTTCCATCAAGGATCTTTCACACTCTATTAACAGCACAATGGTGTACATTAAAAAAACTCTCAGAGACTCTTCATAGACAATCTACCCTCTGGTGTATTGTTATGTAGCTTTGTCGTATTGTCTGAAGAGGGACTTAAAAGCGGAAGGTTAGAAGATGTATTTTCTTATATTTTAAAGATCTAAAAACCACATTTTTTTCTTGTATTTAAACTGAATTCCAAATTAATGAATGTTTCCCTCTGTAATTATCCTTCCTGAAACTTTGTCTTAAGTGTTAAAAATCCCTTGTTAAGTAAAGCCTATCCTGGTCCATAGTCAAAAGGACACCTTTTTTTTTTTTCCTTTATTCAAATAAAAAAAATAGCCACATGGCCTCACAGTTCAATTTTGTGTGCTCTGTTTATTGTTCTGCTCAATACGTAGAAAAAAAAATCATGATCACATTTGGAAGTTCATCCTAGAAGAAAATATCTCTCCTATCAGTACTTACACAGGCTGTGGCTTCACCACGGGAGGAAAAGCTGCTTGCAGGAGGGCCTCGTATCATTTGCATTCAGGTTGTTCTTTGTGGTTGTGGAGTGAACCTATATCACTCCGGGAGGTTACACAACTCATTACTTCCATCATAATTCACATCTATAATTAACATAGCTGTTTTCTGATTGTAGCTGTTGCCATGTACATCAAGAGAGTCCCATTTATAATGTATAAAAGCTGCAGGCACTCATCGGAGATGACAGACTGGATCTATTAGCGTTCAACAGGCTGCTCATATTTAGAAAATGCCTCCAAACTCCTAGGATTTTGGTCTGAAATCAAAGCCAGAGTCCACCAGCTAGAAAAAATGGACTTAATGCACCTTTTTCTTCCTTGTTTGCACCTTCTTTAAGTACTAGGCCAATATGTGACCGGTGAATTTCTCCGCTGTGAGATCAATAAAGCTAATCTAATCTAAGTTTAGACAGATTCATAACTTTTCTTTGAGCGCCAAAGATTTGCAAAACAAAATGTGACAAACAACTTTGCATTTACACAGCGAACAGATAACAAAGAATTAATACACATCTCGTGGCAAGAGAGACAGACCTCAAGGAAGTATTAGATGTCTGAATGTTTGATTTTCTGTGACTTTTAAATGTTTGGATTCAGACTCACTATATATGGTTTCAGAAGCTGAGAAGTGACACAGTACAAAAAAATACCACGAGCTAATCTTTGCATCTAACGGCAGCATTTTTTTGTATTATCATATCACTTGAATGCACGGTTGTTTCTTAGGAGCTGTGTTTTTAAACCCGGTCTCTTATCTCTATGCTTTCCCAGGTACCACACGGCTTCCTCGAGAGGGGGAGGTGCCAGGAGTAGATTACAACTTTATAAGTGTTGGAGACTTCAGGATCCTGGAGGAAAGTGGACTCCTTTTGGAGAGTGGGACCTATGATGGTAGGCAGCTGATACTAGAGACACTTATAAATAAAGGCATGCAATCCTGTATACAGTCATTCTCATGTCTCTCTATATGTCATTATACATTATTCATTAATGGCAACTCATATTATTTGAGTATAAGAATTAGAAGTAACTAATCAGCCATGGGGTGTATTCCTTCAGACAATCCCAGCTGTTCCTCATTTACTTTTAGTGCTGAAGTCCTATTATACCTTTAAATTAAAGTTGAACCTTCAACTAGAACATTGGTGTTCAACGTGTTCCAGGCCAAGGACCCCTAAACTGATGGCCAGATGGAGTAGGAACCCCCTAATTAAATATATATATATATATATATATATATATATATATATATATATATATTAGGGCTGCAACTAACGATTATTTTGAAAATCGATGAATCGGCCGATTATTTTTTCGATTAATCGATGAATCGGACACAAAATATTTTTTTTATATTAACTTCTTTATTCCAAAATAAACATTTTAGACAGAACAAACAAGCACACAAGTACAGGTTTCTCATTAACTGTACTGGTGCAATATGAAAAATAAATGTTTGTTTTAAAACTACGCAAACTTACATGAGAAATGTAGCTGTACATCCACAAAATATAGGGTACTTTGTTTCATAAAGCGCAAAAAAGACAGGCATTTTTGTTTTTAAAAGCCCCTAAGGGGTTCAAACAATAGGTCCCCCCATTTCAACAAATTTGTTTTTTTTAGACTAGAAGAGTTCTGCCTTTTAAGACAGGAAAGTATAGCAGTTAAAGTTGCTACTTGAGAAAATACTGAACCATAGAGATAAAAATAGCCCTGTGATTCAAATTATAAATTGTTTTTGGAATAAAAATGAGAGAACTAGGGGTGTTAAAAAAAACACATCCTCCAAAGACAGATATTTACATGGAAATGTGGTATATAATTTATTGACATATTACTGATCTTGCTGGATTTTATTCTGCTTTACTTCCATAAATTGCAGGATCTTCTTTACTTTATCTTTGCCAGAAGATTTAAACTTTAAAAGCCTTGCCCTCATAATTTGCAAATTAATTTATTTATAAAGAAAATATAAACGCTGCTTAAGCTAATTCAAATGAAATTAAAAGTAAAATAAGAAGCCGACCTTATCACTGTCTGTAACCTACTAACACGGTAAGGAAAGCATCAGATGAGCTACCTGAGAAACTAACTTACGTTTCCCCACTTTAAAATGAAACAAACATGGTTACTCATCCTGCTGATCAGCTCTCTTCACTGCCATTGAAGGCTCCAACGTGGTTTCTTTTCAGGTGCTGCGTCATAACAGTGGTGCTTCCGTGCCATGTTCATTTGTTTTTTACAAAAGTTGCATGTTACGACTTTTTTCACTTTACAAAGCGCAGGCTATTTTAATTATTGTGATCAATTTGCGCCGTCAATCCCGGGGCATGCGCGCTTCATTAGCAGTCTGGACGCTGAGGGTAAACTCCTCACTAAAATCCTGCGGCTCGGACTGCAGCGCTGAGAGGGATTCCTGTGGGAGTAGGGTTGTCAAAAGTATCGAAACTCAAAAAAGTATCGATACTGAAACATTGTATCCGGATACAATACTTGTTTTTAAAAGTATCGATACAGTGCTACCACCAGGGGCACCTAAGCAGTCATTCATCTAAAGTGCAGAATAGAGGAAAATGCACATTCAGAAAACTGTGTGATTGAATAATTCTGTGCACTTTTCAGTTTCAGAGTTTTTTTTTTGTAAGAGGTGCAGCTGCTGAGAATTATTTTTGTTTCTTAACTGGTTTGGCTAGCGTCATTGTTATGTGTGCAAAGCATAGCCAAGGAAGGAACACTTCATTTTAATTTTATAAGTTTTTTATCAAGCTTGCTTAATATTGTGCACAGCATACAACCTTTATTGTATTTATTTATTGTATTTTATTTATTAATGAAAATATTTCTGTAGAATTTTGGAGTCTTTGTTTTTATCCTTGTGGTATCGAAAATGGTATCGAGTATCGAGTATTTTCCTTAGTATCGGTATCGAGTTGAAAAATGTAGTATCGTGACAACCCTATGTGGGAGAGGGAGAAAGGCGTTGGGATGGGGGAGGCGCCCCACGGCAGCAGCTGCCGCTGGAGGACAAGAGTAGGAATGATGCATGCTTTCACGTAAGAGTCTCCAAAAGCCGCCAGTGACACCGTAAAAAGTCGCCAGATTTGTCGCTAGTCGCTTTTTAAAAAAATAGTCGCTGGAGGGGTCTGAAAAGTCGCTGAGTTGGCAACACTGCAACTGCGGCTCTGACTCGCTCCGCCATATTTTTTTTTCTTCCCCGGAATGACGGCGGCGGCGGATGACGTAGGGCTGGGCGATATAGAAAAAAAGCTTATCGATAAAAAAAAATGCATATTGATCGATATCGATAATTATTGAAAAGATTTGAAACCATATTTTATGTGCAGCTCTGCCTGGACTTTTTATAATGCTAAATGATTTAATTTTAATAAAAAACACAAACACAGACTTCCAATTAAATCTTTATTTAACCAACTTTTTTAACCATAACAGAATTGTTTTAAAGAAAAATAACTTAAGAGACCTGAGTTATGTTATTAAATACTGACAAAGAATAAACTAAAGTGAACAGAAAAGTGACCAAAATAAATATAACAAATAAATAAATGCCCCCCCACCGCCGCCGCCGCCACCCCTGTTCCTGCTTTAACCTGAGTTATTACTTTGAAGTTTCTGGCCCCTCAGCATTTTTATCTCAATTGTTAGAACTACGTGGGAAACTGCCCAGAACTGAAAATATATATATATTTTCCGAAGATTCCTCGGAGGAGAGCCGCGCCGGGGCCTACACAGCTCGTACTCCTGCGGCTGTGAGCGGCTGAGATGATAAAAAAAAAAAAAAAAAAAAAAGTTGGTTGTGTTATCAGACTTGGTTTTCACTGGTTCCCGACACATTTTCCAGATGACTGTGGTTTGTTTTTTGTCCGACTTGCCGTGACCGAAATACTGCCAGACTGCCGAACTACAAAAACCTTTCTTTGTAACAGTTTCCTCCGCCTCTCCTTGCTGCATCTTCATGTGCTCTGTGTTGTGGTTTGAGAGGGCGGGGCTTTGTGACGGCGTGCCTTGGTCCGCGATTGTGATTGGTTGGGAGGAAGCAGTGACTAGCATAAACCTACATGCTAGGCTACAATGAAAAGGAAGGAAAACTGCGTTTCTTTTTTATCGAACTTTTATCGACCCTCTTTTTTTCTATTGCGCCACACGTCTATCGATCGATATATATCGTTATTGAATTATCGCCCAGCCCTAGGATGACGCATTAATCGCGCGACACAACTAATCGATGATTAAATTCGTTGCCAACGCTTTTAAAAGTCGATTTTTATCGATTTTATCGATTCGTTGTTGCAGCCCTAAAATATATATATATATATATATATATATATATATATATATATATATATATATATATATATATATATATATATATATATATATATATATATATATATATATATTTAATTAGGGGGTTCCTACTCCATCTGGCCATCAGTGGTCCTATAGTCAGTCTATTACAGATGGAGTCATGTCACAAAAGTAATTTTCCCTGGGATTATTAAAGTATTTCTGATTCCTGGTTGATGGGACAGGTGTTGTGAATGAAACTGTGCCCGGCTTGAAAGGGCTCTTGTGTGTCACTGAATGTGTGCATTGATGACTAAAAGTTATCTTCTGCCTCCATTTATCTGTTTACTACAGTGTGTTGAATTCATGTTAATGTGGATTTAAAGACATTTAATTAGTAAGAAAAAATAGCAGGGGGGAATATAAAAAAAGAAAAAAAAGTCAAATCAACCAAAACTTTCACGACCCCCATGCAGTACCTCTGTGGACCCCCTAGGGGTCGCGGACCCCCTGTTGAAGACCTCCGACCTAGAAAGTATGAAAGCAAAATCAGTACATCATTAGATATTAAAATAAAAACTGATTTTCATCTTTCAAATCCAAACGCTTAATGAATAAATCACACATAAGAAATAAATACAACAAAATCTTCTTTTTCTCTGAGTTTAACTCAACAGTTATTATTTTCTTCTTCACATCTTGCAGTCAGCTGATTACACAGAAGGTAGATCATAACTACAGTACATCACACTCCTAAGCTGGAAGGTCAGGCTTCTCTCTTTGAAAAGGACACTGCATTGTTCGGGTGCTTTAGGGTGTTTGTTTCAGCCATCTATTCTGCTATGGTCCTTTTAGAAAAAAACACTGACAGTGTCACAGCTTCAAGTATTGTGAGCACCTTTGTTTAGAACATAGTTTGAGTTACTATGTTACTTGAATTTAAAGCAACACCCTTACAAATTTAATCCCACATTAATTATAACTATCAGATTTAGAATATGGGTGAGAAAAGTTTTAGGTAAATCAACTAGGATGGTTTTGTAGATGTATTTAGGACTACTGAGAACAAATAAGAGACAGGTAAATAAGGTGCTGTCATTTTGCATAAGTAACGGGAAATAACATCCCATAATGCTAGCAGTTCTGTGCATCACTCCGTGATCAGAATATTTTTTTTCTCTCCCCATTTCTCAGGTTCGCCGTGCCTTTCTCACAACACCACATTTACAGATGATGACACAGTGCGAGAGTAAACACGTCTTCTTCTCTCAGTTGTTTTCACCCTTTTTCCCCCTTCAGTCATAACCCCAAGGCAAACACGATAGTTGTCAACAGCGCTGCATGACCTCTGTAAAATCTCTGCGACAGCTGGGGTGAAATATTCTAATATGATGAAAGCGTTGTGCTGGTGGAACAGTAATTTCCGCCAACAGCGGAGGAAGATGTTTGTTGCATGTTAATCAGTTGTTCTTAATCCTGGCAAAACCATCTCATAAAGAAGGTGAAAAGAAATCCTTTATTTCCTGCTTGACACAATGCACATTTACTAGTGCTTTCATTGTATCGTGGTACCTTTGTAGATTGAG